TCCGATCTTTAGGAGACAACAGTAAATGTTCCAGCCACGTATAATGTTGGGTATGGCGCCTGCAAATATACTCAGAAAACCTTTATGACTAACCAGGTTTCTATCCTACCGGAAACCTACCAAGGCTGTTTCGATCTTCAGGACCTTCAATCGTTAACTCTAAATTACTTAAAATGTTGAAAATGCAGTCTGAAGAATGGAAAGGGCTCTTAAAAAGGTTTTTTGGTCATGCTAAGAGCCCTGTCAACGGCACATCATTAGACGTAGGTCTTGCAGGGCGTGCTTTAAAAGTCCACAGCGCCGTTATAGATAATCCAAACTTGAATAAGCTAATATTCTTAGGTAAAGACTTCTTTTATGCTGCTAAAATAATATCTGACCACAGAAAGAATCGACTTTACTTTATGAAGAAAGGTCCATGTCGATCTTGTATAGGTAAAAGTAAAAATATTATTTTCAAAAATGAAACGAAAAATTCTTGTAAGAAATTAAGCCAAGTCGGAAATTCAGCACAACAAAACTGTAAAAAATCTACTAATGGTTGTTTATTTCAAAACGTTTTTAATCTAGAAGGAGGAGATTCGGGCCAGACCGATAATAAAATAAAAACTTCTGGCAAACTTGCTGATGAATTTATTAATCAACCTACAGTCGAGAATATTATCCCCCCACCTTTTCTAAAAATGTTACTGACTATAAAACACTGAATTTCGGCAGCACTACTTCAGACGTCATTGAACCTTCATGCTCTAGTTGGAGTAAAAATTTACTGCAAATTCCTAAAGGTAAAAGTTTCCCGTGGGTGCTCGTCTTTTTATGTTCCGTGGGTGCTCGTTTCCCGTCTTTTTATGTACAGAAGTGCCCGACGACAGCACCGTGCCCTGCTCGTGCACCAATTGTGTGGAATCCTGTCCTCCACCGGTGCGTAAATAAGTGTAGAGTAATTTTACAGGTCTATCACAGCGGCCAAGTGCGGCCTTACATCGTTGGCCAACCTTCCCGGTAAAGCGAAGCTATAAATGCTGTACCTGGTGGTCAACGCTCCGGGTCAGCCTTGGAGGCTCTCCGGAATTGCCGTTCCCTTCGACAATTGCACCATCCAGATAACTTGTTTGAGTCGGCGGACGACTTCCGGCCGATCCAGAACACGCCTCTGGATGCTGGACGTCGGGATCAACCCGATCACCCGTAGTTCGTCCAGCCGAGAAGCGTTGGAGCTGCTGTTTCCCAACATCCACATCGATGTTACCGGGCACCTCATCCAGGAGGATTTCAGCAACAAGAAGGAACCGGAATTATATGTTTTCGATATAGGTAATGATTCTGAAAGCTGTGGTTTCTCGCTAGTACTTATTTCATGCTTTCTAACTTGTTTTGTTTTATCAACAGAATTTGAAGAGGAATCCACCAAGGTTTTGGAAGAAATGGCAAGCGCCGTCCAGGCATTGGAAGGTAAACTTAAAATTCGCAGTGAACTACTGTTTATTTGCTTGTAATTGTTTTTATTCGTGTATCCGGATTGGGAGATGTATCATGTGGCAACTTGTGGTCCGAGGATTCTGCGGAATTGGAAATGTAGTTCGTTAATTGGCTTTCCGCTGCGATTGTTGTTTTTCTAGCGCTGCTGAATAGATTAACGAAAATCACTCAGTTGTGAAGTCGCTTTACATTACATAGTATTAATAGGTGCTCGCACATACAAACACACACAGGTTACAAATTCTCAGTTTATTTTAAATGCTAACATTTAAACGCGCACACATACGATCTTGCTCGTTTCCGCATGGATGTTGTTCGCTGCAGTAATGCGAACAGAGGTGCGGGGCTGCAGCAGAAAGCCGTTCTTAACACAGTTAAGCTCCGGAGACGGATTCAAAATTCCGCCTCAAACAAATAGGCCTGAGATCCGGTTGGCTGCATTTTCTTAACATCCAAAATAGGGATCTTCTTTTCAGGTAGGGCCAGGAATTCCGCGATGGATAGATATTGGCCATCATACTGGCGCCACAGATACACAAGTTCGTTCAGGCGTGCAAAGCTCTCCGCCTAGTAAACCAACACTTCCACATCCTCATTCCGTGCATATCCCCGGCGTTCTTTTTCGTGTATGGTTTTCTCAATCATCTGACGATGCTCAGAATTAATAACGTCCATCGACCCCATCTTTAATATTTTAAATTATCCGGTTTACACAATAAAGACCGAAGGATCACAGATAAAAAATAAAGTCATAAGTTTAGACTTTAAAGCTGACGGCACACGGAAATGCAGATAGCCAAACCGGATTTGATTCAACCGCCCCACGGCAGTCGGAGCAGGCTGTCCTACCATTTGAGCTCATACACGGCGGCTGGCACAGCGACACCACAAGTCTGCATTTAAACCGTTGAAAGAAGCTTTCGTTGGTTCTTCGATTTGTTTCAATTTCCTCGAAAATTCTGATCCCATTACTGATTTTTTTTATTGTATTGATTTTTAATAAAAGTTTCTGTCTCGTACAAGCGGATTTGACGATTCGTAACAAGACTGCCTGTAGGCAGAAACGGTGAGCCAAAGAACAGTATAAAGTAAATACCCATGGATTGCAGTGCGGTACACGGCGAGAACTCGAATATCACTAAAACGTTCAGATTTCAAAACAACGAAAATGTTTATTATCGTTGAAACCAGGTAAAAACCTCAAAAAGCAACTGTATTATTATTACCTAAAACTAAAAAAAATCTGTACAAACAGCAACACCTCAACAACCAATACTAAATTTGCCTTTGCAGGTGCCTGCGGTCCACATTCAAACCACGGCATGCATATCATCCCGATCGTCACGGTCTCCATGGCGATGCTTACGAGCCATCGCATCTGCTGGCGGACCGCAACGGTTTTCAGCTTTGGTTTCAAATTCCAGCTTTTGTGCCATAAATCGGTTGCGCCCATCTGCTTCCATTTGCAGTCGCAACTCGTGGTAATCAGTTTGAAAGTTGGGCGAATAATGATACTCTCCATACGCGTCCTTCATCGTGATTGTAGCGCCTGCGTCACCTTTCTGGCCAGGACTGAATCACTCTGCGGTTAGAATGCTTTCTGGGTTTTCCACAACTTTATCTCAAAGTTTCGGCCGAGCTCATGATCTGCGCCACAACGCGCTCACGGCTGATATCTGCCCGTAAAATGATGGGAAGGCGTATCCCTATCATCAATGTTTAAGGTATGAACGTATCTGTTGTAACGCTCGATTGACATGCTTTAACCAATTTGATACAGCCGTCCATAATAGCGCATATGCGTGGAATGATGAATCGGAACGTATTTTTCTTTTAGATTCATCGCAAAGTCAAAGGCCTTGTGGTCGGATATATCCCTTAAACGCCATGTGCATAACCGTGCGGAGACGAAAGAAAACAACACTGATCTTCATGAGCAAACGGTCCTCCAAAACCAGGCTGATTAACATGCGGGTCTACTGCAGGAAATCGCGGTTGCTACTGTTTATCATTAGACTTGCTTTCTTCTTCCTCTTGCAGGTTGAAGCGCGGATACTTATGCCAATTACCACGCGGATCAGAACTCCAGAGCTTCGGATCCTAACACAGGTGAGAATTAGAGGGCAAAATGTCAGAATAACAACAAAAGAGCCAATTAAATTTGAAGCGAACAGTGTTAAGCCGTAAACGTAGGCGCAAAATCTCTAGAAACTGATGATGCAGGGATTGATTAGACAGGGTTTTGCATTTAAAAGTCAACAACCTGCAAAGTCACAGCTATTATCCAATAGCGATTAATGCGTACGTATCAGATAATTTTTGGGAATTTTGTTCTGATTTCCGAATTTCTGGATTTAAGAACCTTAAAATTTAATAAACTATTTACAATATGTATAACCCCCGATTTTAATTTTAATCGCTCGCTGGGCAACATACAGAACAATTTCTCCCGAATCTTTCCCGCATCGTTCCGCATATACTGCAATAAAATCTACGCTTATTATACAGGTATTTACAGGTCGGTCGCGCTAAGTGTGGACAGTAACAAAAAATTCCCAGCTGCTACCGCTGAACCCCAAAATGCTTTCGTTAAATTTTTATGATAGTTCTTTACGTACAGCAACTTTCTTAGTCATATTTCTGCACTAGAAGCTAATGTGCAGGGACCGGGAGCCGAATTTTATCGTTCAGATTTTTTACAAAAACCGCACTGCTTAGTAAGAAATATTCATGATCAGTCAATAATCTTTTAAAAATTCTGAGTGGTTGAGAACTACTAACTACTGAAGTGGTCTTACAAAGGTACTTTTCTTCCTTCCTTTAAACTGCTAACATCTTATCCTACGCGAACCGCGCTCCAGGCAACCACATTCTTTTGAAGGTGGCTTTTAACATGCAGGTCTATGGGCGATACATCATCTTTCGGAATTTCCAAGAGCACGGATAGCGCAAGATTCTTTTGCTTACCCACAGAGAACACCTTTTGGGTCACTCATTAGTTTTTAAAAAAGTGCTTACAAAAAGATAATCTCCTGAATTTTTTAGAAGGGCAGTTATAAACAAACACCCGAAAAACATCCGCTACCCTCCTTCCTTAAGCTCCAGCCCGCCCCCTACGAACACGTTAGAAGGTTCCGGTTTTATTACGGCTTTGTCCGCAATGAAAAGTTACACAAGAAAATGGCAAAGTTAATGTTAAAACTACTTACAGAAATATATCAAAATTTATTTTGTGCAACTGTCTACACTTGGCGCGACCGACCTGTAAATGCTGAGAGTCCCTTGAAATACAGGTCTACAAGCCGTCGGTGTACTGATCCCACAAGGATTTGGCGGAACTGGAAAGGGATACAACCTTCCAAATTTTCTTACTGGTATCCTGTATTTCACCAAGGTGAGAAACACACTCGCTTACGATCCTGAGCAACGGAATATGGTGATCCATGTATTGTGATTTGGGGATACATCCTCTTCTAACGCTGCTCGTAGTAACTGTGTATCGCTACACGCAGGCTGGCGATCGCCAAAACTCTGTTTGCCTAAAATGTCATCGGTAATGCCACCCTGTGACCAATATTGCTCTAAATGTTTCCCCCAAGCCGGGACCGGCAAGGTTACGTGTTCCTCGAAATTCCGCGGTAACGCATTATCTACTGTTACAGGAGCTCTTACGGTTATTGCAGCTCCCATAAAGCCACAGAGTATTCCGTGGAATCCGGTACTGCCTGGGGTTTTTGTCCATTTTGAATCACCGACTGGGATATATTCAGGTCGTGCCGTATTCGGTTTTCTACAGCGATTCTCTTGTTGTTGCTTACTGGTATATCGCGTTTGCGCTTTTAAACTATATCATCATAGGTAGTATTTTTCTACCGGCTTAATTGTTCTACTGGAACGAGGGCGTATAACCGGCTCTTTTTCCATTTCTTTTTCTAGACAGTCTGCATACTCGGCGTCCAATGGCGATGACGTTAGTCAGCTGAAGGAATTACAGGCGGCGGAGCCGGAATGTCCTCATTTTCGTCCGGGCACTCCTTTTCTACACACGACAATAATGTCGGCGGTTTTTATCCAGTAATATCGCATCAACGTTTCTAAACTCGTAAGGTTTAAGGCGATAACGTGTACAGTTTCGATCTTGACATTTACTTTTCTGTTCTACTTTGCAATATAGCGCACTGGACCGCTTGGTCGTACGACTTCCCACCCGGCCGTCCATTTTGGCACTAGGAAGGCTCCCTGTGTATAACCTGGACGAGTACGTGATCGCCGGGCTTGTATGTCGTGTGCGATACAACCACATCATACCTGATTTAACCTTTTTATTTTGAACGGAATTCTTCCGCATTAACGATTTCTAAAGCCTCGCCGAGACCACATTGCATTTGTTGAGTGTACACGTGAAACTGAATGACGAATTCCTCTTTTTGAATTGGCAGGAACTTTTTCACCGCAGGCGCCTTTTCGCACCGTGCATCATAAAAAACGGAGTCTGCCCAGCCTTTCGACAAGGAGGTTTTCGTTCCTCCTGTGACAGTGGGGCACAGGAAAAATTGGCAAAGGAACGGCAATAACGGTAGTTTTCCAATTCATTAATCTCCTTAATAGTTTTTATGCCTTTTCGTATCCCAAGCAAAGCGTTAATAACTAAGATCGTCCGGATTGTTGATATAGTGTTGGACATCTTGATTGTGCTTGAAGCTAGCGTAACTGGAAATGAAAAGTAACGAAAATAAAAATAAACTTTTTGTTTCTACAACGACAATGGCAATTAGGATTTATAGTAATTGGCGGGAAATAAAATGGCACTGGAGCATGAGCCGTTGGTACAGGGCGAAGTGCAGAAGTAGGTAAAATGGATGAAGAAAATCTGCTCGTATATACCAGTTTCAGAAACGTTTAGGTTGTACATAGACCAGTAAAGTAAACAACGACTAAACAGGTCTTGTTGAAGGGAACTGGTTGTAATGCAAACAAAGAACACGGCTCGTTAAACAATGCGATATTCACGGCTTTAGCAAGTTATAGAAATCTTTTCTGCACGGTGTCGGGATTAAAGTAATCTAATTTGACTGTTAATCGGGAGTCGTCCTCATCATGATACATAATATTGTCACAGAGAGTGCACAGGCGTTGATGGATTCAATTTTTCTTACTCCGTCGTAATTACCCCAGAAAAAAAGGGCCCTGATTTCTAATATTCAGAGCCTGTGGGAAGTTTTCGCAACTATTCCCGGTACGGTTACGACAAATGAAAGGATTTTTCCCGCAATGAAGCGATTAAATCCCTCAAAAAATCGATAAAAATAAACAGAAATCCGAATCTTTTAAATTACTCGAAAATGCTGTTTCAAGGCACCGCCATCCTAAATTATTAATGCCAGTGATGCAGGTGTAGGTGCAGTCTTGATACAGAGTGCAGATGGAAAACAAACAGCAGCTGAATGTATTTCAAGAAGATCGTTGGACACTGAAAGGATGTACGCGACGCCTGAACTAGGTTGTTCGTAGCTTGGGTTTCGTGAAATTCAAACATTTTCAAGACTCCATATAGGAGATTTCGGTGGAATTTTAGCCTGTCGCCGCGCGGAGATATATATCCACAGCAGCAGTGAACAAGACGTTACGCGACATCTGCCATCTTAGACAGTAGCGGAAGAGGGTAATACGCCAAATAAAACGTAAACGTTCGTGGTGCTTTCATGGGAATACAAGTAATACTACTGAACCGGCACCTAGGATGGCGGCTGGCTGGTGACTGACACCTTTGACACCTTCGGCATTCGGCCGCAGCAGCAGCCGGGTTCCGGCACTCCCGCCAGCGATAACAGTATTGTTGTGCTCTGTCTGTTCCCTCAGTTTAACGGTACAGCATTTTAAATAAACCTCTTCAACATAAAAAAGAGTTCTGCAAAAAAGATGGCCAAGCGACCCACAAATAACGTTCAGGTGTGGCTCTCTACGGCTCTTTTTACCTGCTTCGGATGTGCATTGACTTATACACCTTCAATTTTGCATTTAAGCCTTCCTCGATCATACCCTTGCGAACTTTCTACCAAAATAAAGTCACTTTTTTAATCCAGACCCGTAAGTCCAACCGCTTTAGGAAAGTTGGACAGCTTGGTCGCAACAAAGTTCAATGTATCGGCAAGGTATTTCCAGCAGGGTATTTAATGTCGATAATTTGAAATCCCGGCGAATGACCTGAACACCGTTCAAAGAACTTCTAATAAATACGCCAACACAAGATGCTCATCGTATCCATGTAAATTGTGGGCAAAATCGTCCAACCAAAGAGTACCTCACATCCTCCACGTGCGAATTACAGTACACCAAAAAATCCTATCCGGATAAGTGGTAAGAATTTAAACATCATGAGCTTTCGAGTACATATTCTTTCGAGTACATATTCTGTAGAGTTTCGAAGGCATGTTTGTTTTCGCAAAACTGTGCGGCTACGCATGTTGTTGCTTTTGTGTAGCGTGCAAGCCACTGTTCGTCTTAGATTTCTCCTCGGGGATCGCCCAACAAATCCAAGCAGTCTGTAAGGCAATCGTTTGTTGCTCTTGTAGCTCTTTATTGCTGAGACATTCCTTAACGTATTTCAATCATTTACCTTTCAGGTTAAGACTTTCACAGGATATTCCGCGGAGATCGGGACCTGATCAAAGACATTACTGAAGCTCTTTCTTTGCTGTTATATTACTGTAAGATTAGAACTGCTGCTTTTGCGCGGTCGCGCTCGACCGATACTTCTAGTTTAAATAGTTATGATCAAAGCTGATAATGTACGTATTTATTGTTTCAAACCTAAGAATTCATTGTGCATAAAACCGACTTCAAGCACATAATACAACAAAAATATATAAACTATCCGAAAAGCGACACAACAATCCCACTTCAAAAGCTGCCAAATCATGAGCAACCATATACAACTTTAGAAGATAATATAGTGCAGTTAATATATTGTACAGTTATAAACGCTGTACAAATAAAATGTCCATATATTTCTATCAAACAAGAAACCGAAATCACAGCTAAAGATGTCATGTCAAAGGAGTTATAAATATCACATTACATAATATCAGTTAAATATCACATAATTTAAGCTCGATATCAACCTATAATAACTCTTCGATCATGCGCATATATATATGTCCATGGAGTTCCGACTATATGCAGAACCTATGTATGATAATAATATGGTTACCACGCGTATAAAGCTAGGTATTCCGTCTCCGAGGCTTAATGCCCCTTCGCAGGCGGCGGCGGAACGTGGCCCTGGGGATGGTCGACGATGGGATTTTGGTGGACTCCACTAGCAGCATTTACGTTTGCAAATCTGTCAGTTCCATATGCAATACAACAATCGCATCGTCCCGAGGACATAACGTGAGAAACAGAAAATGTCGGCAGCATTTACGCTTGCAAATCTATCAGTTCCATATGCAATATGTTACCCGCCCAGCGGCCTCTGACCATATAACCGGCACACTGTGCCAGCGGTCGTCCAAGGACGTAATAATCGTATATGATATTTTACTGTTACAATTTGTATCTTTGTGTTTGTGCTTGACCGCGTCTTAACGATTGTGTTTTATGGTGTTATTTGGCGGATGTGCTTAAATGTGTTGGCATAAGCGTTTGTTGCGTGTTTTATTGCATTGCTTTGATGTGCCGATTGCATGGTAGACTGCACTTTTGAATATTTGCTGCAGTCGTGTTTTCCATCGAATATAGGCGTTGGCCTTTTCCTGTTACATTGACTAACTTTTCATTCGTTTTCCCTTTCTGTCAGCTTGTTGAGTGTTATTAAAAGTATAACGATAACGTATCGTTGATCGGATCCGTACCGGCACACAGCATAGGTTTTATTCGCTTTACGTACACACGTGCGGCACTAAGGTTTCAAATACAACAATCGCATCGTTCCGAGGACATAACGTGAGAAACAGAAAAGTCGGCTTTGATTCTTTGAACAAAATCGGCCTTTTTGGTGGGGCTTTTGGTGCGGCCACATTTGACTTGATGTTCAGCATTCGAATGTCCGCACTGTTGATGAAAAATGTGGTACGTTCCACAGAAGCTTCGCTTACGGGGAAATTGACTAATGAGGAAACCCACACTTTTTACACCTGTGAAAAGGTGAAGTGGATTAGTTCGCGGTCTCAATCGAGGCACCTGATTGCAGACTTGACGACCGAGATGGCGGCGAACAATCAAATTCCTCTGTTTTTAATAATCGACTGAAAAACGCGACGTTTGTTCGTTGTCATCTCTCAGCGTTGTCTGGCCTTGCTCGACTATTTCCCGAACAGTTTGAAAAGGTGTTGATAGTTGGGCGAAAGATCAGGGAGCTTTACTATTGTTGTGGTCTGATATAATTGCCATGCACGGATAGAAGAACGCAGGAGTAGTATGTCTCGACGTTACGATAACCTTGGAACACATTGCTCTGAAACTGGCAAATGATCTTCCAACCGAGTTTAACTCAGATCTGATGTAAAAGCCAAATGTATAATAAAAAACGAATTGGCACCATAGCACACAAGGGGCTGCTGCTACTCTCTTAGATTTTACCTTGTGCAAAGTACCAGTAGACAACCGGTAGTTGTCGTCCGCTGTGGCTGAACAGCGTCTTGACCGGTTGTGGCAAGTGTGCTTGTCAAACGCTACTTTTGGCTGCAGATTTACGGTTAACGGCCTAGCGTCTACGCAGTCGTATCCCGCTGGTTAAAATGTACTTTGTACTAAGGTTATGTATGTAATGTACTTGCACCTACTTGTATGTTTTTTCACTTAATACTGAAATGTATCTGCATTCTGCAATATTTTGACGATCCGATCATTTTTAATAATACCTGTCCACATTTGCAATATGCCCGGTACGAAAGCATTCGTCGATTCGCGCGCTATATATATCTGACTGCAGCTAATATTGTTATTTGATTTATTCATGTTTCTTGAAAATATGTCAGTGAATTAAGGTCTTGTTAATAACAGCATATGTGTTATTGTATTCTTTATCAAACTGACTACAATCGAACTGCACTGGAAAAGCCAACAATATGGTTTCCTAAATGTTGAAAAAGTTTTTAAGTCCGTATCGCATAGCGGTCCCTCGAGTGCAACCACAGCATACACTACTCTGTGTACGGCAGTAGCGCCGTCATACAGACATAGCAAAATACGGCACTCGTCCTCAATTCGTTGTTAGAGCCGCTAACACAATTTCTAAATTAATCAGTTCCCAGCTTTTAGCCTCCGTCGTCAATTTTAGACGTCTCGATTTCCCAGATTTCTCTCTGTTCCCTGTGTCGCCTGTGCTCAGTGCCCCCTTCCCGTGCTCTCACGTGCTCCGTTTCTCGTATTTGCTTATTTCGTTATCCGTTCTCAGCTCATTTTTAACCTACTGGTGCATCCTTTCAACAGGACCTTTCGACTTCGCAAACAGGACCATTCCGTGGCAAATTTTCCAATCAACTGCTTCTTTTGGGTACATGAACTTTTCTGCTTACGCGACATCTCCGCAGGTCGATTCATTCACAAGGCAAATATCGTCATTAACAAGGCAAATATTTTTTCTGTAGTAATAACAAGGTTCAGAACATTTTTTTCTGGCAAACTTGCTTTTCAGGGTTAGCATCAGGTGAAATATTCTCCAGTACAGACCGGTAATACAACATGAAGCTTCGAAATTCATCGGCCTTCCAACTGGAAATTTCCTTTGAGCCACGCGACAGTTGGCTGATACACTCAGGAGACCTGAATCTGCGCAAAATCCATCAGGTTTTTTTCAAGGAAGAAAAATCAGATGCGAATTAGACGATGAGAAATCTTCATTGCCATATATATTCTATATCTGGCGCCATATGTAGGCGATCGTTGGGATGGTATCACATTGTCATTAGCTTCCTAACCAAGCCCAACAGAATACTATGCATTTATCTGCCAAGGCTGTGTTAATCATATCCATCCAAGGCACTCCGCAAATTCCGGAAACTGTTTCAAACCAAGTTCCCCTGCAGCAACATTCCTGCGGATTGTATAGCACCATGAGGACTTTGCCCGTAAACGTTGCCTCGCCTTTGTGAGCCACGCACGAGAGTGGCCTGGAATAGCCGCCCCCTTTTAGTTCCTTTAGCTATGATCAATGAAGATTAAGCATTAAGGCTCCAAGTTTACCTGGTCTAAATAATGTCATGGTAAGATATGAATACATTACCGATGTAGCAGCTCGCCCCGATGACTCAATATCGCTGTCTGATGATGACGCTGAAGGTGATTCTGGTGATTCGGTATTCTCTCTAGATGTAGTGGGAAGTTGGTCATAGCTTTGTATATGTTCCGCTGTGGTGGGTGTTGCCCTTGTTCGTTGTTCGTGTAACTCTGATCCGGTATTGCGTGAATGTGGTACATAAGGTCGAAATACAGGACGAGTTGGATGTGTTGGAGGAGTCCTGCTTTCTTGAGTATTTTTGAGCATAAGCTTAAAGATGTCTCTTCTTAAGGTGATTGGATTCACTGTGATAACGTCATCAGGTGTGGGGAACAAGATGGGGTAGCAACGGCTTAAGGCCATACACAATTGTCGTTCCGAGAAATAACATTCTCGGCAATTCTTAAGCGAAGAATATTCGTACATTGCGCTCCAGGCAATCAATGGCAATCAATCGCTCCAGCATCGAGATATGGGCTTCCGCTGCACGGAATACTTTAGGTATCCGTGCAGTGAGTGCTGCGATCACTGTGCGCGTAGACATGACAAAAATATTAAATTGAGACTGTTGCGGTTAACCGCAACAATTATATCAGTGTGGTATAACTACTTGATAGTAAAGTTTAGGGCTATTTTAACAAAGAAGGAAGTACGCCCCGCAGCAGTTACATAAGTATTATGAAAGCAGGTATTTAGCTCCGTTTTTTCCACCGACCATTTTTGTAACTATGGAGGTCCGTTTGTGTCGCAGGTGTTTTACAAGATGACGTAATAACAAATAAACAAATAAGTTGTAATAATAAAACTGCAATAATGGACAAGCTATTTTGTATAAAGAGAGAAAATAAAGATTAAGTGATAGAAGAATTAAAAGAGATTTCTAACAATAAAGGTGACGTGTTTGCAATAATACATCAAAACCAAGAATCTAAAATGAACGGTAAATAAAACAGAGAAATGAAAAGTAACAGTTAAATTGCAATAATTTAATAATTTAATTTAAGGCTGGCCAAAAACGTTTTGGCGTAATCCCATCACCAATTAATGTGCACCAGGTAATAAATGTTTGCCGCCATGCGGTCTTTTTCTATGATTGCGCTCTTTGCTTTATACTACAATATATCGCCATGTAAATGGGGTGGCATTTTTTCTCTCCCACTGTTTATCTTTTTTATTTTTTTGTCACATTTGCGAATCTTTTAAAATAAATTAATAAACTATTGGCGCTTTTGTATTTGGCGATATGTGTCGCTTTAGCGATCTTTCTTCTAGTGCGTTTTGCCTGTTATTAAAAAAATAATAATATGGGAAAACATATAAGAAATATTATAACATAAGAAAACGTATAAGAAATAATATATGTGTTTAATATAATAAAATGTCGCAATAATAGACTAAGAACTATTAATAATTGTACTCACTTCTGTTAAGGCCGGCATGCACAATTTTCTGGATGATCGTGAAATACGCAATCAGAGCACCATACGTCATTATCGCATTGGTCTGCTGATAGTAACTCATTCTTACATTCCGGGCATAGTATAGGGCAATTTTGCTCACAGCGATGGTAGTTTTCACATAACGGGCAGAAGTTAACATCACAATCACGGGCTTTGTGCCCGAATCCCTGACAGTTTTAGCAAATCAGGGGACTGGAACATATGGTACTATGGTGACCTATTTCCCCGCAGTTGCTGCATTCTGGTGTTTCATACATATCCCTTGTAAGTATGTTAGTTAGTTGAAAAAGGTATTTGAAAACTTTATGTTGGCAAAACAATTTTGAATTCTGAACACTAAGTGTTAGCCATGCTATCTCGCGGTACTTATACTTAAAATTCTGTTGCTGTAGGGTGTTCTTAGGTGAGTTGCAAGTTTATTTGGCATCTATTTCGATCATGATATTCATATAAAAAAAATTTTATATGTTCATGCTGTTGCTAAAATTTACACAATAGCTAACTGCTGACAGTTTTCTTAAGAGTATTGGCAGCAGTTTATTTGGCATGGTCAATCTGAAGCTGCGGCAGGAAAACCTGTGAGTCACTTCCTCAATGCTTAATACCAGATATAATATCACGATGGAATTATATTGTTGTTGCCAAATGCAATGCTTAAGGAAATTTTTCTTCTGTCATTTTTATGACTAGCAGAGTTTTAAATAAAACTGGTTTCGCGTTCAAAGACAAAAGACAAAAAAGAAAATATTTAATTTTTGAATGGCTGCTTATACCTACTTGTATATACTTATGTTACCAAACTAAAATATTTGACCTTGCCCTTTGTAATACAACTAATGTTAGCTGCAATGCGTTCATTCTTAGAAAAAGGTTGCATTTGTACTTAATAAATTGCACTGTTCTGGTAAATTTTATTCAAAAACTTCAAGAATCGGTACCATTTTTAAAAACCATATTGTAGAAAATTCATAGACGTCTTTAACAATTTAAATCGCATTGTCATTATTTGTGCACTTTTTCAAAATTTTCTACTAGTTTATTTTTGTTTATTTGTTGTGTTTTTGCGGTCTACAACGTACCAGGTGGGAGCACAACTTCCCATCTGTGTTGTAGTGGTGCGACCACGAAATACTTTTATTTTTCCAGGAGCGTCGTACGTACTTTCATACCTTACAAATTAGTAACTTAAACCAAATTTTGATACAGCATGCTTATTTCAATTTGCAAAATAAATTATTTTGGTACCTCGCGCGGAATTAAAATGTAATTAGTGTTCATGCAATTATTCAAAAAAATTTTCTCCTAGCAGAACCATAAATGAGGCCTAAAAACAACCATCGAATGAAACGAACGTTTAGCTGGATTAACATCATAAGAAGTGCAGCGAATCGAAAACAGAAGTCTTGTGCAAAGGTCACTCTTAACTGGTGTATTTGAGGGTATTGGTAAATATATCGAAATATAGCATATAGGGGGAAAAATATGTCTAGCCGAACCAATCCCTTGTACTTCTGATGTAAGCCAGCTGGTGGTTTACGTTGTGGCTGCACAGCGTTTTATGTAAAGCGCTGCTATTAAGGCTGTGCGGCATTGACGGTACATGTGGTATTAACTGCACCAGGCAGGTCCGGGCTATAATACAGTTTTAGCCTGTTTACCTGCAGTTGTACGAGTGCCGCTTACCTGTTATCAGTACCTGCAATCTAAATAGCAGCGCTTTACATAAAACACTGTCAAGTCACAACGTAAACCACCAGCTGGCTTACATCAGAAGTACAAGGGATTGGTTCGGCTAGACACATTTTTCCCCCTATATAGACATGTCTTATAGTACTTATACTTATGAATTATTATTACTTTATCAGTAACCTTTTTGTATTTTTAAGCATTGTGAATATAATAAAAGATGTTAATTGGAAGATGATGTACGGAAATAACTTTATAGAGTGTTTCAACTGGTATAAGATCGGACTTACCACCGACATGACATTTGCGGTATGTAGCATAGAAACTTCGGTGTATACGGCACTTTACGGTCACTCGTTACGCACCGGTATGAACATGGAAACATCGGTGTACACGGTAAGGAAACCGAAGGTCACTAGGTATGGTGCAAACCAATGTGTTGTAGAACACCGGCTTTTCCGGAATGTAGCTTGGAAGCGTCGGTGTATACGGCAATTTAGCCGAAAAGTCACTGGGTATGCTGTGAACCCAGTACATTGTGGAACAGCGAAAGGTCATTGTGGAACCGCGAAAAGGTCACAAAAGATGTACAAGAACTAACTGTTTGAGAGAGACAATATAGAAAAAATATGTGCGGGGCGAGCCGCTAACGATGAAATGTAATGGCGTAAAGGTCACACTGGGCTGTGGTTACATATACCGTAACATCAGGTCCATAGACCGAACCCGATCTGCTACCAATGTAGCAGCTCGCCCCGATGACTCTCCTTTATTTTCACACTGTCGCGTTGGTTTTATACCAACGCGGCTACAGATACACAACATGGACTCTATGGCAGAATGCCATAGGGCACAAACAACTGGAGACAACAAGGAAGCAGCCAGGAGGCTACTTACATAACACATATTGTGACAACAAGGAAGTAGCCGGGAGGCTACTTACATAACACATTTTGTGTGTAGTCGGCATGACAGTGCTGACTACCACACCGAGTAGTATTCTGGCCTTAATTTGCTTAGCTTTGATGCAGTAATCATGATACATGCCGCGGATAAATTCTGCTGCGACTGCAGACAGTAGGAAAACAGAACATTCTCTGGGTGGAACGGGGACAGTAGTATTCAGGTAGGAATCCTTAAGAAAGGGCGGTAAAATATGGTCGCGATGTGTATCGTGTATTGTGTAAAGGTCGCACAGTAAAAAAAACACAATCTGATAGCAGTTTGCTGGCAATGCAAATAGCTTCTGGCAATGCAAATATGCGTATGCGCCCCTACAATTACGATCAAGGCCAAGGCCATAACTCAGGATGCTGGACTACCAATTTGAATTGTAAACTTATTTCATTTATATATCCTCCTGTTCCATAAGGGAACTGGACCCAATGAAGGCGGTGGTCACTCCTTGGCAATGCATGTGCCACGGAATATCACGAGCACTTCCTCCTGCTAGAGCTCGGGCCAGGGATCGGTATCCTTCTCAGTGGGCATACGTGTGCAACGGAGTAGGAGCATGCAATACTATTCATACGCACATCCATGTCTGTAAGAAATCCCACATAAGAGGAGTCTGTCTCCAAATCAATAGGATTATGAAGCACTTTGCTCTAGTTTATATACAGGATTTTTTGGACTGTATTCAACTCACACTGCGACCTGGAAACCAAATGCCTACTAGATCACCTATCCCATCGGTGCACACAAGAAGATCACTGCTGTTCCCGTTTTTGGACTTTCATCCTATCCAAAACACTATGTTACTGTAAAAATCCAGAAGAATATCGACGATCGCTAGAACTATTTTGCAAGGTTGGTCCTGAGGCGCTTACTAATCTGTAGCATGTAGCTCTTATTATACTGCCTTCTGTTTTCTTCGTTTCAGACTACGTAGCGATCCATACGTAGCCATCCCACTGACTCAAAGTCACGGATGGTATGTGAGGCAAAAACTGCACGATGAGCAGGAAGAAACTTATGTATCCTGACATGCTGAAGGTGTTGAAGGTCACAGGGACTTGGAGTCTCGAGTGCAGAAGATAACGATAGAAAGCACTATGCGCAACTTAGCTTGTGATGCTAAGAGTAGCTGATAAGTTAGAAGACAAGGCTGCTGATGGAAAATGAAAACTTCGAACGGTGTCGTCGTTATTTTATAGTTTATACCACTCATGCGGGTGATCAAGCGCTACTGTGCCTGACGTCGGTGTCGTTGTGTGTAGCGATTGGTTGGTTTGTATTTGCACTGGACCTGCCTAGTTAACTAGATATGAGTATCTCTTGTATGGTCTGTTGTACCGTTGTATTAGAGTTCCGTACGCCCGTCATGATGTCCACGTAATTGCGTCGTTTGTATCAGACTCCCTCGGGCTAGTCGTCGAGGAGTACAAAAAACTTCCCTCGGAACTTCCGTGTACAGAAGGAGAGTGGCGGGCAGTGAATCAGCTGGCTAAGGAGAGTGGCGGGCAACTAGGCTGTGATTTCCGCAGATAATGCGAAGCTTTTTGTTCTGGGCAATCAGCAGAGTAAAAGTAATCGGGTAAGATGCAAACAAGTATCTTGAATTGATAACACAAAAAAATTGTTAAGAATTGTAAAAAGGTCACTACTCAAATTTCATACGGGAAAGAGAAAGCCGTAGAATTTGTTTCTAGGTAGCTATCCAACTTAGAGACGAGATAAACCACTTCTGAAGGGTCGAGATATACAAATACCGCCAGTAGTTGCGAGTGTTATCTGTAGTTTCTGGAGATCCAGGTCCAGGAGCAACGCATGGGGATAGTGATCGGGCATCCAGTATTGCCGGTAGCGAGATTCCACGTGGAAATCAATATGGTTTAACGGATGCAAAAATTCCATTTTTATGTAAAGGGGCTTATAGGTAATTGATTGAGTTGTTATGTTTTGTATTTGTTATTTATTGGTTGAAAATTTACACGTTAATAATTTGGTTTTATATTACGATCTCTACGCCTGAAGATGACATGGTGTTCGTAAAGTGGGTTGAGTCGCCATAGGATTTGATTACTTGACCGTTTTTGATAAAATTTGTGACTAGGTTTTGAGTGATACTTAAAAATTTAAAATATTAATTTAATATTTTCGGAAAAGTCGGCGGTCGGACATGTTTTCGTTTTTCTATTCATTTTGTTAATAAAATCGCAGAGTAGTTGGCGGAAACTATTTATTTCGATTACAGCATCGAACGTCAAGAATGTCACCATTGTAATGGGCACTTTGATTACCTCACCAAAAAGTAACTCTTATTCCGAGACTGCCTTGGCGAATACGACTGAGTGAACCGAGTCCGGTACTTCCCGGTGTTAGATCAAAGACGTAGATGCAAAATCCGTTTAAATAATCATCTCGGGTAAACGGTAGAGCTCCAAAAAGCCCATGCGACAGCCAAGTGAATCTAGCAACCCGTCATAGCACTCTAAATATTTTGCTTCAATAAATACGGCCTCGTAAGGTCGGCTGGGAAATGACTGGCCATTCGCCTCTATACTGATTTGCGACACATCGAAATGGATTGGACTGGATACAAGTTCAGTTTTCCTATTTTGAGATTTCCATGTTTTGTGATTTTCCTGTTTAAGATTTCCTGTTTTTAAGTTGGATCACCTACTGGCAGAAGATAAGAACCAGTTCCATCAATGGCAAATGCATTGCTAAAACTAGCGAACGGGAATCCTGAAAATCGTCGCCTTTTTTGGTTCCCCAGATATGGACTGGCCTACGCCAAAAAATGTCAAACAAATAAATCCTTTCTTGGAGAAACGGTTTACTGGCATACTTACTTAAAACAATATTCCGATATCGCCTTTCCGTTAACAGAACCTGCGGAAAATTTCTTGTTGATAGTGGGTTTTCCTTACAAAGGTACACTGTCAACAATTTAATTAGGTCGGCATTGTACACACGCAAGAGCACATGTTCGGCAAATTATAATCGCCATAATCGCCAGCTACGCACATTTTGCTGAACAGCGAAAGTGAAGTGTTTCAGCAACAAGGTCCCACTCAGAAACTTTTCCGCGTTAGTTTTTCACAGCATTATTTCACGCGGTAAATAGTGACGGTCATTTCCTCACCCACCACCATGGGGTGTAGTCCGAAAACAATTCCCGGAATGGTGAGGGGCCCTAGATTCTTTGACGGGTGCCCTCTCCGTAACACAGCAGAGGATTGGATTGTCACTTATCGGCCAAACGAGAGGCCATGGTTCTGACGAGTTGAAAAATTTTGTTATGTTTTCACGCCTCCGAGTACGGCAACTACAAGCACGATGACTCCTGGAGTGGTGGCTATTGCAAACCATAGCCTGGATAACTTTGAGTGGCAGTAGGTCGCGAGGCTGGTTGTACAGCCAGCAGGAAAGTTTCACATGTTGAAACTCGTCTGGAGAAATAAGTTCGTTACTGAACGTCAGGCCTGGCCATGATTCCTGAACCAAAAAATTACCGCTAAAGCGCCACAAAAATAATCATTTCCACACAAGCAAAAGCAGTGACACGAACAGAGTGTGCGTAGCGCATTATCTTGGATGTAATGGCCGGCCCAGTCAGCCTTTTCCGCGGGGTTTTCATTGTTTAAGATGGCCTGCAGTAATAACAGGCGTTCACTGCTGTCGTGATAATGAATTTGTATCACAAGTGATTATGTCTCACTATGGACGTTTTCCATGAAGATTTGAAAAGCGTAAAATGCCCTACTTTCCTTGCACTCTGCGGGTGCTCTCTGTACTGGCAAGCGTAGGCGGTGACAAGCCTATGACGGCCCAGAAACTCTGTAATAAACCATAACTTCCCGACCTTTTTCTGGACCCAAAAACAAGAGCGGCTGACTTTAAAGACTGCCGGTAGCCATTAAAATAAGTAACGGTAACGATAGCTATGAAAATAGGAAGTATCCGACACGGCAGCATAGATATGTTCGTTAAGCATGATTTCCATAGAAGTACTCTTTGGACGAATATCCAAATGTCTTGCATTCCATCGCAGATCTCTTACATAAAGTCCGATAGAACGATTTCGCCCAAAAAAACAACAACAGTGATAACACTTACCATCCAGTAAACGACCCATCCAGGAAGGCGGCAAAAGCATTAGCGCGGTGTAGTGTGCCGGCACAATCAACTGAGAACACGACATCCGAAAACGGCAAGAAATTGGTTATTTTCATGGTTGCACTGTGAGTACATATGGAGTTCTAATGAGTGCAGAGAAGGTGTAAGATAATACTCGACTTCGTGCATTGGCTGGCTGTCCATAAACATCTATGCATATCAATAAGTGATAGAAAAAATTTTGTATCAGCTTAATGCTCTGTAACTTTTAGGTGCGATTTAGGCGAATGCGCTATGCGATTTGGAATGCGTGATCATTAATTTTTCTTAGTTACACGCTTTCGAGGTGCCAAGTGTGCTTAAAGAGCTGGATGGGATGTTTATTCGGGTGCTTGAATCGGAAGTACGGTGAATCAATTTTTTATATCTACCAGACTTACCGGATTCGGATCGCAGTGTGCGCATGTAATGATGACATCCTTTAACTTTCTTTACATTTTAGTGTTGCAGTTCCAGTGGAGTAATTTACGTTGGCCGATATTATTATGACATTAAAATGAGTAGCAGTATCAGATAAAGCTTTAGTGCAGTTCAGGTTGAGAAAGACCAGGTAAAATGCTTAACCGAATTCCGCCATCCAAGCTGATTTCGATTCGTAAATGGCAGAAACTGTTGTACTCGCAAGAC